CTCGAGGGCCCCAGCCCAGCGCTGGCGCAGGGAAGGGAAGGGACACCCGTGTTACCCGTGACACGCAGCTCGCCGGGCAGGGCCGCGGGTGGCAGGGCAGGGATGCGAACGGGATGGGCGCTGCCAGGGCAGCCGCAGCGCGCCGGGTCCATCAGTGCCGCGGGCACCGGAGCGGGCGCTGCCGCCGGGGTTTGCCCCGGTACCGCCCGGAGCGCGAGCAGGGCGGGTCCCGGGGGGCGGTGCTGGGCGGAGCCGCGCCGGGGGCGCTGCGGGTGCCGGTGCCGCCGATGGCGCGGGCGTTCGGGCCGCTGCAGCTCGTGCTGGCGGCCGCGGGGACGGCGGCGGCGGCGCTGGACGTGTGCGCGGACGGGTGGGTGGCGGCGGGGTACGCGCGGGGCGGGCGGCCCGGCCTGGCCGCGCTGGTGCTGGCGCTGCGCGCCGCGGGCTCGGTCCTCACCCAGGCCTGCAGCTGGCTCTGGTTGCGCTCCGACCCGCCCGCCCTGCGCCCCGCCGCGCCCCCGCCGCTGCTCGCTGCCCTGCACCTCCTCCAGCTCGGCTTCCTCTGCAGGTACCGCGTCCCCCGGGACCCCTCCGCTCCCTGCCCCTTCCGGGGGGGGGTCCCCGACACCGGGGGATGAGGGTGGAGGTCCCCGGTGCGGCCCGGCCCCGCTTGGCGCCGGCTGCGTCCCAAAGCCCCGGCTCTGCTCCAGCTCCTGAGGCCGGAGCTTTGGAGCCGGGAGCGCCCCGGAGCCCCGTCCCGTCCCGGGCTCTCCCCGCTGTGCCGGCGCCTTGGAGCCCCGAACGCCCCGGAGCCCCATCCCGAACCGTTCCGGGCTCTCCCCGCTGTGCCAGCGCCTTGGAGCCGGGAACGCCCCGGAGCCCCGTCCCGTCCCGGGCTCTCCCCGCTGTGCCGGCTTCCTGCCGAGCCCGATGCTCCCCTCAGCGCTGTGGCCGCTGCCTGGGAAGGGGCGGGGAGGGGTTTGGGCAGGAACGGGGGTGTTTGGAGCCGTCCTCCGGGTCCTGCAGCGCTCGCAGCCCGCAGCCCCTCAGCGCTGCCCTTCTCCGGCTCAGGTGCCTCCATGCGCTGAAGGTGGGCTGGAAGGTGTGCAGGGCGAAGGAGGAGGCCGGCGAGGAGCAGAGCCACATGGCTTTCCTGTGCCACGACATCAGCATGCTGCGCCTCTTCGAGACCTTCCTGGAGAACACCCCGCAGCTCACCCTGCTCCTCTGCGTTATCCTGCAGACCAACAAGGCAGAGCCCTTCCAGGGTGAGGGGCTGGGGGGCTGCAGGCTGGGGGTCAGAGCGGTTGAATGGGGCAGACGGGATGGGCTGGGGTGGCTGGGTTGAAGCTGAGGGAGCTCCGTGGACCTTCCCCTGCATGCCCTGCAGGGGGGGAACTCGGGAGCCCGCTGGGGATGCTGAGTGGATGTGGATGTGGATATGGGCATGGGCAGAGGGGGGAGCGCAGGGCACCAAGGAGGTGCTCTGAGGGTGCTGAGGCGGGGAGTGTCACTGCAGTGGAAGGGGAGCTGGCATTCGTTGTGTGCCCGTGTGTGCTGGGGGCTGCCCTGGCCGGGACTGGGCTCTGCGGAGCTGCTCGGCCCCATTGCTGCTTCCCCATCCCTTGGGAGAGGCCAGGTTCTGCCTCCACCATGGGGAGCCACAGGTGCTGAGGCTCTGCCCCCACTGCAGGAGCTGCTTTGGAGCTGGTGGGAAGCTCATTTTAGCAATGCTGGGCATGGGGGGTGGCTTGAGCTGAGCCGGACCCCGCTCAATCTGCCCTCAACATCTGCACCACTGTGCTTGCAGGACTGGGGCTCTGCGTCACGTTCCTGTGTGTGACCTGGTCTCTGCTGGACTATCACCAGTCCCTGCGCTCCTTCTTGCAGGATAAGTACGAGCTGAGCGTGAGCTCCTCCATCGTCTACTTCCTGTGGAACCTCTTCCTCATCTGCCCCCGCATCCTGACGGTCGCCCTCTTTTCCCTGCTCTGGCCCTATGCTGTGGCTGTGCACTTCCCACTCGTGTGGCTGGCCATGTTCCTCTGGGTGAGCCTGCAGGGCACGGACTTCATGGAGTCACCCGGCCCCGAGCAGCTCTACCGGGCCATGGTGGCCGTGATCCTCTACTTCAGCTGGTTCAACGTGTCCCCGGGGAGGACGCTGCACCGCAGCATCATCTACCACAGCTTCATCCTGGTGGACAGCACGCTGCTGGCCCTCTCCTGGCTCTGGTGCCGCTCCCCCTCTGAGGAGCACTCCTACCTCATCCCGGTGGTCTCGGCAGCCCTGCCCTGCTACCTGCTGGGGCTGGCGCTGAGGGTCACCTACTACAAGTGGCTGCACCCCAGCCTGCGGGCACAGGAGGACCGCGGCTTTGACGAGGTGGATGCCAACGGGACGAGCGGTGGGATGGAGCTCCCGTCGTCCTCGGAGCCAGACCTCGTGAACAGGCGGATGCGGTGGCTGGTCCAGACCCAGTTCTCCATCTCCTGGCCCGTGGGGCAGCACTTCCTGAATGGGGCTGCTGCTGCGGAGTCTGCTGCCTGAGGCCTGTTCCTCCAGAGTGACTTGCCCAGGATTTGTTCATCCTGCTCCTGGTTCTGTTCCCCCAGGGCTGTTTTGGGCAGCCGGGGGGGGCCCCACATCTCCCCTGGCTGTGCCCTTGGGTTCGGGCCATGTGGCTGTGCTGCCTTGTAGCTTTTCTTTCTATTTATTAGCTTTTTGAAAAAAAAAAAACAACCCAAAACAAGGCAAGGGTGAGTTCTGTGCGTGCCGCTGCTGCGGGAGCCAAGCCCCCGCTTGAGCTTCCTGTCCCCAACCAGGACCTGCCTCCTGCTTTGCTGTCGCGGTCAAAGACTGCCCGTTATCATTATCTCTGCGCTCAGGGAGGGACAGGGAAGGGATCAGGTGGCAGGGACAGCAGCCGCAGGGCGGCTCAGCACAGACACCTCGGGGTCCCTTTGCTGTGTTCCCGCTCCCTGGCCCGTGCCTCTGATGCTGGGGCCAGGCTGGAGGTGGCCACGGCCAGGTCTCAGCTGTAGGGGTGCGATGTGGTCGCTGCTTCCCCTCTGGGGCTGCCCCCGGCTCCGTGCCACCACCTGAGCAGGGCCCAGCACATCCTGGCTGCTCCCCATCACCCACCCTCCCGGCAGGACCCTGTCCCAGGAGGGACCCCCCCCCACACACACTGGGGCAGGGCTGGGGGAGGCAGCTCCCTTCACTGCTGCTCCTATGGCAAGATGAGCCCGAGGCCAAGGCCAGGGGCACGGCAGCAGCGGCTGGGAGGAGGGCTCATTGCTGGTGTTTGTGCAGGACTATCCAAGCACCGTGAGCCCCCCCACAGCCACCACAGCAGAGCCGGTACCTCTGGGTGCCTCCACCATTGCCTCCCATAGGAACCCCCCCCTTAATGATGCCGGTGCCCCCAAGCCCAGCCCTGGGGGTGCAGGGGACAGAAGAGGCTGGAGCAGTGACTATAGAAAATAAAGACTTTATTTGTTTTCCAGTTCACAGGACAGTTCCCATTGCAGACCACGAACAGGCAACGGCTCCGCAGCCAGCGGTGCCCAGGGCTCGTCCCTGTCCCGCTGCAGCGGGGCTGGGAGTGCAGCAGGGGCTGCACTGGGGCCCTGCTGCTCCCAGCTCATCCCTGGAGGCAGAGAATAGAGCGGGGCAGGGGGGGTTAAGCCTCAGTGGTGAAGCTGGAGGGGAGGCAGCAGCACATGGGGGGGGCACAGCACTGCTGCTGCCCCTGCACTGGCTTTGGTACCAGGTCAGGGGGAACAGAAGAGCACAGAGACAGGAAAACCCAGAGGGACAGAGCTGCTGCTCTGGACCCACACGAGATGGGAACCCTTAAAAGAGCCAGGGCAGCCTGTATTAGACATGAACACAGAACGTACCAACAGCCTCCGGTTAGACAAGGACTTCACATACATTCAAAGACCAGTGTGGAGCATCCCTGGCTGCAGCCATTCCACACTCAGGGAAAAGGCTGCTGAAATCTTAGCATTTCCTTAAAGCAGTTTGAAGTCAAGGCAGCTGAAGGTGAGCCTGGGGGGGGGGGGGGGCAGCACCCCCTCTGCAGCCTGCTGCAGGCCCTGGGGAGCCGGGTGGTGGGAGGTTAAGGCACAGGGTTTAATCCCAAAGTTCAACTGCAGGAGCCAGCGTGCTCCCACCAGGCTGGGACAGCTCCAGGAGGGCTCTGGAAGGGCTGGGGACCTGCAGGATCCAGCACAGCCTCTGACTACGGGTGAGTCCTGACCCTCGGTACCGTTTCAGCCCCTGGGAGAATGGGGCTGCTCCTTGGCACAGCACATTTCCCACAGGATGCACTCCGGCTGAGGGAGAGACCCCCAGGTCTCTTTGTGGACCCGGCCACAACGGAGCTGCAGCCCTGCAGCGTCTCTGCTTGCTCTGCACGGGGCCCAGGCTGCTGTGGAACCCCAGCACACACCATGGGGACACGCCTGAGCTCCCCATGTGCTGTGTGTGGCAGATGGAAGAACATCTCCCATGGGCTCCTGGCTTCTCCTCAACCCAGCCTGCTCCATCCCCTCCTCTGAGCTGCTCAGTAACACCCACAGCACGAACTGGCTCCTCTAATGGGACCGGAGGGCAGGTTGCTCACAGGCAGGTCCTAGACAAGGGGCATGGTCCTAAAGCAGAGTTCCTGGGGAAATAACAGACCCAGAGCGTCCACCTGAGATCAGAGCACGAGGCCAACAGCTAGCAAGGAGCTGGATGGAAAGCAGAGCCCTCTTGTGACCACCAAGAGAATCTCCTCTGATCAAAAACCAGGAAGCAAAACTGGAGGCTGGGACATCTGAACCCCGGTGACACCTCTGTGTGCAGCCCCTGAACGCCAGGGATCCAAACCCCCTGCTCCAGGCACATCTCCATGATGGTCCCCAGCACTGATGGAAATCGCTCCTCAGTCACTAATGCCATGGAAGGTCTGCAGCAAACGCAGCACCCATGGCTGTGGTACAGCATCCTCCCTGCAGCGCCGTGGGGTCAGCCCTGGCCCTGTGTGTCCCAGGAGGGTGATGCTGGGCTGGGGACTGGAGGTCTGGAGGGGTTTGGGCTCAGCAGAGGTGTGTGGTGGGACAGAGCAGACTTCTCTACGCAGGGACCCCCCAGCACTGCCTGGGTTGGTGGCCTGGCGGTACAGGGAGGAGGCAGAAACCACTGAACCTAGCCTGACCTGGCACAGTTCGTGGTTCCTGGCACTGCAGGGCACGGACTCCAGCCTCTTTCCAACGAGCCATCATTCCCAAAGCCAACGGGCTCCAGGCTGCTGAGGCACAGTGTCTTCCAAAAGCAAGTCCCTTTTAACAAGGGGTTTGTTTCTAACTATGTCATTAGACAAAGAAGAATACAAGAAAATGGAATCAGATTCTACTAAAAGGAACCTCTTCTCACAATGAAGTCAGGAAAGTGGAGGTGAAGGTTAATAACCATTCCCTTCTTCGTAACACCCATCAGGATTCAGTCCTCTCAAACTATTCCTAGTCCAGATGAGGGCTGTTCCCACCGGAGCAGTCTGCAGTGCTGTTGTGCTGTACCTAACGTTCACAGGCAGTTGTATTCCTGGTTCAGGGAAAATCTGTGGGATCTATGGCCTGGGTCACGGATGGAATCCAGCGATCTGCTGCTGGTTAACAGGCTTGAGCACACATTGACTGGAAGCCATCAGGATCAACTCAACACCAGGACCTTCCTCTACAAGGACCCACGTAGCCCAGGACCATTCCCCTTCTCTATTTTCCAGTAATCCCACACTGAGGAAATAACATGAGGACACTGTAATAAATTAACTGCTTTGAACACCCAGGGAAGGAGAGAGGACACATTTCACAGCAGTGGAGGTATTTTTGCCATTTTCATTAGTATTTCCTATGAAAGGCCCACAGCTCTCATTGGAACAAGGGAGCTTCAGCTCTGCCATCAGGATTTCTCTATAAAAATAAGGTTTTGTGGTTACTTGGGTTCTACAACTAAGCTGAACAGAAGGGAGAAAGCTCCTACAAGCACTTGTGTTGGCTCACCCTCTCCCTCCGGAGACTACCTGCTAGAGGAGCTCAGCTGGCTTCTGTGAGTCTCTTCTTCAGACGAGCTCCAGCTCTGCTGAGTCCAGAGCTTCCTCATAGGACACCTCTGTACTTGGCAAGGCCCCTGCTCCTGAGGTCGTGCCCTGGGGCCGCGTTGTGCTGCACAGTTCTCCTTGGGTATGTTTTCTTCATCAAGCTGAAAAGTGAGTCCCCAAATGTACGAGGTTTCTGCCTCCCCAGTGCTGGAGAGGGCTTGCAGGAGCTGCAGTCACACCTTTGCTCCGGCTTCCTACAGGAAGTCTAGCTCCAGGGCTTGGTGAAGGGACACGAGGTCTGCGTGGTTTGTGATCCTCCAGAAAGGCATGTTGTGCTGTAAGAGACGACAAAGGCAGCTTTACTGGGCTGATTTCACAGCGAGGTGGAAGCAGGCAAGGTTCAGCTGCAGGGTTGTGCAATGCGAGGTTGTGACACACCACATTCAGGAAGGATCTCAGCTGCATGGTGTGTATCTGAAGCCTGATCTTGTTAGCACATCTATTTATGACAGGTACCAGCGCTAGCAGCTGCTTGGCATGCTCCTGATGGAAACCCCAGCTGCTGCTTTACCCTGGAAAGCCTTTCCTGGGAAGTGACAACTCTGGCACGTGGCAGGCATGTGGAGCCTGCAGAGGTGATGTCCTGACATCAACCTGTGTGCTTCACTGCCTTTAGTTGGCAGGACTGAACAACCAGTTTGCTCCTTGTTTGTCACTCGGACCAATGGGAGATGCTCTGTATCGATCTGGCCGATGACAGACGCCCTCTGTGCTTCTGAGAAACTGCATTTATCCCAACTAATAGCTCCATGATCAAGACATGCCACATCAAGATACTGTCTTACAGGGACAATGTTATACACAATGCTAAACAACAGTAAAACGCAAACTTTAAACCCCCAAGCCACAGAATTCCCCCTCTTAACGCAGTAAGATCTCTCTTGCGTCAAAGGCAGTTTCCCCTTGGCCTGAAGAGTTCAGCCCTAGAAAGAGGGTCCCTGCAGAAAACAACTGCAAACTTCCCTTTGCATGGACCCACATCCCAGCTCTGCAGTCAGAACTCACCTGCTTAGCTGCCACCTCTTCATCTCGCCCATCTCCAATCACCACATAGGTGACTTTCTTTCCAAACCGTGACACGATCCTCTCAAAACAGCTCTCTTTACCTGCCAAAGGAATCCCACTATCATGAGCCTCAGGCAGGGAACAGGCGAAGCCTGAACAGGTCCCTTCTTCCCAGCACAGAAACACATTCTCATCTTACTGGGAAGCAGGTAACACCCAGTTCAGCTTGTGAGGCCAGAAGCCATCACTTTTACATGGCCAGAGGGACCACAGCAGCCAAGGGGGCTGCTCAGCTGCAGGAACTGTGTTTCCTATATAAAAATCCACAGCAGACAGCCCAGTGCCAGGCACCAGCACAACCCCTTACCTATTTTTGTAGCACTATAAATATTTTCAATGGGAAACACCTCTCCCAATCCATAGAGGAGAACTTTGGCAAGAGCTGGCACCAGCTGGGTGGTTGTGATCAGGATGTTCTCACAGTTTTTCCTGAAAGAAGAAAAAACACTTGTAAAAGCCCATCTATGGGCAGTGGTGCCAGGGCCACCCTGAGCAGCTTGCTCAGCTTCCCAAAGTGCCACGTGCTTCACTGTCCTGCCTTCAAGAGGCTTGATTTGTGGGTTTGGTTTGGTTGCTTTTTGTTTAAACCAGGAATTCTCTGGCAGAAATGGAATTCTGTGAGCACAGTCCTATTATGGGGATCATCCCAACAACACATGATGCAGCAGAAAAACCCCAAGGAGTGGAATGCCTGCTCTCACTCCTTTTGCTTGTCAGTACCTGTGACAAACGTCAGCAGTATTACACACAGGCACTGCTGCAACACAGCACTCAACACCAATCAGAGTGAGAGAAAGGGCTGAGAAAGCAATATACACATTTCCAGTTTCCATACCTGGACTGTATGAGTAGCAGGGACTTTAGTGCAGTTTCCAGCCAGGAATCTGTTAGCACTTCTATATCAGTCCTTAGCTGCTGCAGAGCCTCCCTCTTCTGCGGGCTCAGAAGGCCTGCAAGGCAAGAGCCACAGGTTTTCCCAGCTGAGTGGGCAAGTCCAACACAGAGAGGGGCAGCCCAGAGTTCAACTGCCTCTTCTGCAGTAAATAACAGCACTGAGGGCACCTGGAAGCTGAGACTGTTTCAAGGCAATGGGAGAAGCCACCACAGGTTGAGTGCTCAGATACTGGTGTAGGTGAACACTCACCTCCAACATTGGTCTTGTACTTGTCATAGATCTCTCGCACCCTGCGGTAGCGGAAGGCCAGTTTTCGCATCCAGTCCACTCCTCCCTGGACACCAACTGAGGAGCTGTGGTTTGTGTTACTGCCTGAGCCACTGAAGCCATCCGTGGAGAAATTGTAGTTGCTGTTTCAGAAAAGCAGATGTGAGACGTGTTCTGCCTCAGCAGCAGAATCACTGCAGCTTTCCTGGGGGAGGCAGGCTTGATGGCAGCAGCTAGAAAAGCACCTTGAAGAGGAGCTCTGCTTCACCACTTGCCCTGTATTTCTCTCTCCCTGACAGACAGGCACTTCTCAGACCTTTCCATGAGCCCACCCAGCTCTCATACCCTCACCCCTCTGACAGCCTGCACAGTCAGCTCACAGATGGATGTAAATGAGACTGTCAAAGCTCAAGATCATGAGGTCTGGAGTGTTGGTTCTCCATCACTGAGCACACAGGCAACATTCAGCAGTGGACAATATAATTCACACTATAATTCTGAAAGCCTTCATGTTTTGTAGGTCTTCAAAGAAACCCCCCCCAGCAAACAAACACCATTTGCCAAGTGTCAGCCCTCGCACAATGCTGACCTCCTTCCCCTAACCTCATTTGGGTTTGAAGTCCCCACAAAAACCAGACTGCATCAGCTATACATTTCAGACATTCATCATACACCACCTTAAATCCTGGCCATTGTCATCAGATGCCACATCTTCTATGTGTACCTGGTCACACTCCTGTTTAAGAAACAAAGTCATGTCATAATCCACAAACAGACTGAAATTGGCAGGTTAAAGAACATGTGATCTAAACCAAGCCTGTATTGGATGCTTTGTTTCTTTCTGGGGCAGGGAGGTAACTGTCATTACCACCTTTGCAAGCAGTCACAGTCACTTAAACTTCATTTAAGTTTCTATTTGCATCAACAAACCCATCATTTTTCCATGATGTGCATCAGTGATGCACCTAAGATTAACCGTTCACTGTTCATATTCAGCCTTCAGTGGAAGTGGTGTGGAACAGTGAGATGTATTTAATTTGGCAAAGAATACTGTGCATGAAAGAGGATGGGAGTTGATCAGAAGTCCTTGAGGCAGGATAGGAATGAGAAGCAGCAGAGAGAGCTTGCAGGAAGGACAGATGGAAGGTGCTGTGGGACCTCCTCACGTGCAGCATGCCTATGGAAGCGTGTCCTTCACACTTGTTATGCTGCCAGTGTAATGTCCTGAGACACTGGTTGAGATGCACAAGCTGTGCTCTGTCCTTGGCTTAGTCAAAGCCCCTGAGATCTGACATTCTCAAGGTCACTTTTTCCCCCACATCTCTGCTCTTCCTTTCAAAACAGAATCTGTGACAGCAAAGTGCTTACCAGTCCGGCGTGCAAATAGAAGGCAAAGCAGAAATCACTCCTCTTATTTATACAGGACCAAGTAGAAACCCACCAGAGAGCTATGAGAGCTCATGAAACTAGAAATCTGCAGAATGCCTGTCTCAGCTAAAGGAGTCCACCTCTGATTTGGTTGTGCCTAGAACCACTTCAGGTTTGCAGACTGTTGTGTTTCAGCACTAAGTGGCTTGGAAGCACAAGAGCCCTCACAAAGGGTGCAGTGCAGCTCTAACCAGGAAATGTAGAGCTTTGCCTTTCAAAACCATTTGCCACGTACCTCCAAGTCATTGAAAAACAAGTGGGTGTCAGCTACTTCAAAAATCATCTCCTCCATTGACAGACCTGAGCCAATCACTATAGTTGGGTCCTGGCAAAGCAGAAAGAGGTAAATTCACTGTGGTTACAGGCAGGAGTAAATTGGGATCAATCTTCCACCAGTTACACTGCACAGTGTTTCCACTGCCTATCAAGCCTGATGTAATTCCATCTGCATTCAATGGTGTAAACTACAATTTCTCTAATATTTAATATTTCATACATTGACCCAAAGTGTAATAAAGCACTGCAGCACTGCACAGCAAAGCACTGCAGCACTGCACAGCAAAGCACTGCACAGCAATGCACTGCACACCAGGGACTGCTGCATTGTCAGAGGCAACACAAACAAAACATTTGCAAGATCTTCAATACATTTTAAAGGAGAAAATGTCCTTCCTTTCATTATGTACTGTGACCTCAACGATTCCCAATGATGGTAACAGTCTGACTTTTAAAGACTGTGATGTCTGTGTCCTAGCTCTGTGTAAAGCTCAGAGTTTAGTGCTCTTTCCCCAACAAAAGTATCACCTCATACATTTCAACCAAATTATCATGATCTGTTCCTTTTGCAAAGATCAATATTTAATTGTACACGACAGATACACTCTTTCTTCCACAGAGAAGACAATTATTACCTTGCCATATTTTTGAGCATAAGACCCTGTGAGAAGCGAATGGAAGATTATGATGGTCTCATCCAGGTCCCAGAGAAACACTCGCTGCACAGAGAACAAAAGCAGGTTAGAGCTGAGATACCCCAAGCACTGAGCTACAATGGAGCAGCAAGTTTTAGGGTTAATTCTGTGGTTAGTTGCTGCATGCTTTTAACAGGTATGAACAACAGTATTCATGTCACAGGCTGAACGCATTAAACTTTCAGCTTATTGCGGTGGAGTTTATATACTGCTAGAGCGCACCAACACACTTCAAGAGTAAGGCTCTCTTGGTCAAAACTGTTTCCAAAAGCTTTTCTTGCTTTTATAGTTATAAAACCAAATCAGAGTTCTAATGAACTTTAGAGCCCTGCTAGGGCAGTTTACTGCCTGTGATCTGGAGAGCACCTAGTAAATGACTTTGGTGTTTATCAGAAACACCTCTGTTATGATAAATAAGTAGGATCAGCTGCCATGAGGAATAGCAGTTTCATATAGAAGGACTCTGATAAACTGGAGAACTGGACTAACAGGAACTAGAAGTTCAGTAACTGAAGAATCTGCATGTGAGGTAGAATAACCCCTTCTATGGGTCCTAGCTGGGAGGAGCTGGAGGGTGCAAGTGCAGTATGAGCCAGCAGCACTCTCTGTGTGATAAGATGAACTGCCAAGTGTGCCTGGCTGATAGAAGGAAGGTGCTGTCTCACCCTACTTGGCACTAGGAAGGTCACCCCAGATGGCAGCCCCCGTTCAAGACTTATGTGAGGAAACCAGAGCAGCCAGCAAAAGGCTGTCGAGATGGTCAGCAGCCTAGAGAAGAGGCTGAGGGAGCTGTGATGATTCATCTCACCAAAGAGGAGACAAGCAGACCACAGCTAATTAAAAGGGAACTGAGAAGATGATGGAGACAAATTGTTCTCAGTAATGGCAGATGGAAAATTGCCATGGAGACAGAATGAAAGAAAGAGGACTTTTACCACCACACTATTCTGCAATGCTACCTATAGAAAACAAGATTACTATTTACCTCCAGTTCACTGTCCTGTGAGGAAGAAGTATCTGCTTTCCTCTTTCCCCTGTTCTTCCCAGGGATGTTTTTTCTTGCCTGCTCATCTAACTCTTTACTTGCTGTTGCTCTTGATAATGAAGGACTTGTGGATGCATCTCCTAGAAGAAAGAAATCACAGAGGTCTCACCCCCCATCTCTCAAAACAAAACACCAACATAAAGCTGATAATATTTGGCCACAAACCTTTGCGAAAGGAAGACGTTACCTTGCTTTATTGATGCAGTAGTAGTTGAACCCTTAGTAGAACATAAAACATGAGTTCTTTGTCCCATCATTTCAAAGCAGCTCTGTTTCCTCCATTCAGTACACTAGGACCAAGCTACTTACTGCATTCTGCCTGCAGCACAAAGCCAAGGACAGAGCACCCTCCACCCCAAGGCCTGTAACCCCTCAGGTGTCTCACAACCATGGATCTGCTTTATTCCTCAATGGTTTCTTTTAATACTTCTTGAGAGAACACCAGAATCCCTCAGTCTGGAATGAGTGTACAAAGGAAAGTATTTCAAGATGCTTCTCCCTCTCAGATTTCCTGGTCAAACACCTTTTGGAGCAAGCAGCACTATACAACACATGCTGTTACCCCCTCCACACTATTTGCTCCTGTGCCACTGAAAGCCTTTGACTACCAGTTAAATAATAGCCAGAGCAGAGAGTTACCTGGAGTGTGGTAATCACACACAAATGCACAGCGTGCTGGGAAACACACCGCAGCTCCATTGCCCTATCTGAGAATTAGTAAAGGATAACAGGGACGAATTGGTCCAGGAAGCACAGATATGGCCAAGCACCATGGCCATGGCTGATGGAGATACATGATGGAGCCTATTCTGCTACTGGTAAGAGCACCCTTCCCAGGGAAATGGTAGAGCACCACCATAAAAAAAAACATAAAAATCAATGTTTTGATGTGCAGAATGTTACTGCCATGATGGGAGATACCCTCTGAATCCTTTACTAAGAGTTCAGGCAGAAGAGGTAACATCCCAGACCTCTGCCTGATTAATTCACAAATAGGACCAGAACTGTAGTGAGAAGGCAGAGGGCAAAGGGGGCTTGAGAAAGCCTGAATTCAGTCTGGGTCTTTCAAGACAAGACACAGGAATTCCTTTGGAAATTCATGCAAAATGTTAACCTTGGAGAATTTCAGAGCTAAGAAAATGGCAAGAAAACATTAACAATTGGGTCATTCCCTGGCCAGTGCCTTGAAATAACAGGTCAATTCCATAGAGTTGCAATATCAACTAAGAAACATTCTCATGGGTAAATCTGATGTTGCTCACCACAACTAGAGGGCAACTGCTTCCTGAAAGAGGGCAAGAAGCTGTGATAACACATCACAGTGTGGTCAGCTGTCATTTCAAAACCACTTTACACGATAAAGCAGAAGGAAAGAAAGGATGTGTTTCTCAGCACATCAGCAACAACTCATTGAGAGGTGATGGCCAAACTACAGCTCTTGACAAGGCATGTGGGAGTCCCATCATGGGACTAGCATCTATGCCATGGCTGTCACGCAATCTGAATACCTGGCTGCAGCATTCAGGTTCAGAGATCCTGGAGCTAACAGGAGCTTTGAGAGTGGGTATCATCCACTGCCCTGCAGTGAACACCCAGCCCCAACACATGTCAATCAACAGTCCCCAGGTAGCTGCTGTTGACAACTCTTCAAGTCACCCCTGGAATTCCCTCTCTCTAGGGCATCCAGAGCATGTACTGGGTGTCTCCTGAATTGTCATAGTTATATGTCTTCCTATACCTAAGCTCTTAAACCCTGCACACCAGTGAGACCAGTCTGACAACAGAAGGCAAATATCCTGTCTGTCCAGGCCAGCATGCAAAGGTGCTGCAATTACCTTTTGGACAAAAAGCTTTCCCCATGTGTGCACTCTGCACTGTTTATGTCAGGTACTCTGCAGGCACCCTGCTAAAGATCCAGCCATTACCAGAGGAATGTCTCTGCACCGCCCGTGTAGGCACCATGGCGCTTGGCTTCTCGGCTGGGTACGTGGCTGTGGCTAACGCAGTGGTCTCTGTGTTGCTCTCTGCTGGTGTCACCACTCCAAAGCCAGAACTCGGGTAACACGTCTGGTACTGACTTTGGCCAAGGATTGTGTAGGTGGGATAGTCCTGTTAGAGGAAAGGATGAGTTGTGACAGGTGACTTCTTTCAGAAAACGTTCTATATTAAGATGAGTTTTATGCTAGAATGTGCCTGTGAAAAAGAAATCCCTGCAAGAGCAGTCAGACTTCATACTAGCTCTTTCTGCATATCTAAGATATCCCCAAAAAGGGTTGAGAGCTCAGAGTTCCCAAGGGCACAGGCAGGTCTGCGAGCAGTGACAGGCACTCCTCTTTCTCCACATTCTTCACAAATGAATTCATTATGAATGATGTGACAGTAACAGGGCAGTATCAAGTGGATACTGCGGTGTCACTCCCCTCTCTCTGTGCTCTGCTATTTGTGGTTTAGTCTTGGGTTTTATTTTCTGATACCAGATGTACTGACAGCAACAGAAAGTGGTCTTGGTACTGGCTGAGTGTGCAATACCAGACACAAGAGCTGCAGGATAAACTGCCTTTACTCATGCCCTGTCTTCAGCAAGCAACTGTTTTGCATGCTGTGACTACAGGTATCCATTTATGAAGAGTATTTACTTGTTGAGATCACTGAGCACCTGAAGCTGTGCTTGAGGACTTTAATTTCCGCTAATTTAATTTTACTGATGCTGCACATAAACATGATAAGGAAGAAGTTTTACCTGTGAGATGCTGGCTACTGCTGACGTGGAAATATTGACAACAGTTGAGGATGTAGAGACTGGACTGGCATTGGTAGTTGATGCTGTAAAATGAAGAATTACTGCATTAAATGCTTCTAGGAAAGCACAAGAGACGAGACCAATCCAAGCTGTGAAAGAAGTACTTACTATGTGCAAGCATCTGTGCTCCCAGCAGCACTCTGCTTGTAACAGCCATAAAAGAAGTGGGGTGTACTTTGAAACCAGTAACCTTTCAACTGGGCTTAGAGGGAAGGAGAGCCAATACACCTGCAAACCCAGGGGTTTCAGAACCCTTTCCTCCACCCCTGCCAAGCAATTGGAGCATCATTAAAATGGCTTCATATCTTGACTAGAAGTTTGGAGAAGACAACAACCACCTTCTGATGTTCAATAGTAGCAGACGAAGATGAATCAGGATGAATCAGTGAAATGAATGTGAATGTCTTTAAACGAGCTCTGATAAATTCTCTCTGCATTTGACTCAACATATTTTGTCTCATTAGAACAGGAAATTGAAGGAAACAGTAACAATAGTTCCAATAGTATAAAAAGGGTGTTTCCTACTAAGGAAAGCAGCGTATTTCCCCAAATCCCTGGGACACTACAGATGAGGCTTTCTGCAATGATTTGTCAACAGCTTACAGGTCAAATTATCAGAGACAGGTATTTGGGAGTATGAATTTTAAGCCTTTCTGTCACTGCATTCAGTTCTTCCAAAACCCAGAAGAGGCTGCTCTGGGAACACCAGTCATTTAGTAGATTGTGTGGTTTTACACTCCATTGAACACCACTCCACGTGGGGGTTTGGGGCCCTCGAGGATTAGTGAAAACACAGAATGAAATTAGCATGAGCAACATCAGGGTGTACTAAAGCGGGTGCCACCAAGAAATATTCTCTTTTGCTAAACCTTCTTTCTCTGCACGCAAATAAAACCAAAACTCACTTTCAGATGTTTATGAAAACACTTGCAGAAATCCACAGTCTTGCCTCTACTTTACCATCACTGACAAAATCCCTCCCTTTCTGCAGATGACACCCATGGGGAATTCACCCCAAGCCTGAAGAACTCGAGCTTCTGAAGGCTTCAGTCTTTCTACCCAAGGAAACAGACCCCACCATGAACTCTTAATGTACAGTGTGTTATGTCAAGCGCACATGCTTCCTGGTGAACAGCTCCAGCAAAAAGGAATGGATCCAAAATACGCCTCAAAAAAAGATGAAAACCAAAAGGAACAGACCTTGAAAGAGGTGCAGAAATACAGAGCATCTACAAGAGGTGAGCAAGGAGAAGGGTGGCATCTTCCTAGAAGCAGAAACAAAGGTAGCCCCTGGGAATCCCCACATAGGAAGGAGCAGCAGTGTTCAAATCCAGATGGGAGAGAATACGGAAGAGAAGACTTAGAAAATGGAAGACAAGCTGCACTGAGCAGCAATAACAGTAATGAAGACACTCAAGTACCTACAGTAGCTGTGCAGCTACTAGGAGCACAGTTGTGAGAGTCAGGTACCCATCACAAATACTCCTCATAAGCAACTGTTGGAGAATAGGGGTTAGTTTCCTAATAAAACTCCTTCCACCTATCCAGGTTACAGGAACAATCAAGGCTGTTACAGCTAAAGAGAATGGCACTTCCCAGGGCACTGTGAAGAGCAGCTCTCCAGAGAAGAGCCTCTTCTCTGCAGATGAGCTACATGGAAGACACTATTGTACCACCTCTCTCAAGATGGTCACAGAGAGCACACAGAAAGCCATTCTCATCTGTAGTGCTCTGAAGAGGCTGTGGCTGACCTGAGATAAAGAACACAAGAAACCATGGAAAAAAAGATTCCAAGTGCTGGGATTCTGGTAAAAACAGGTTCCCTGTGTATGAATTTCATCTTTAGCTTAACCCTGGTCTCCTTCCAATGTTTCTTTATTACCCTTTCTCTACCCAGTGCTACACATCAGATCCTTACAAACAGCTCCCACCACAGAGACTAACGTTCTTTCTGCACTGGGGGTCAGATCCTTTACCTGTGAATAGGCAAAAACCATGCAAAAACCTTTGGCATGGATGTGCCAGAAGGGACCAACCGCTTCATGGCCTCAGCAAACCCAAATACTGCCTTGAAGATGCTGTAACTCTCTTCTTTCTTCCCAACATCCAGACCTCATTTCAGACCTTGTATCTCTACCTCCCCTGCCTTATTCATCCTATTTGGTTTTGCTTCAGTTGTTTTCAAAGATGCTTCAAGCCCATTCTTGTGCTGGGAAATGGCAATGAGTGCATTTCATGTCTCACTTGGCTGCCCTGCTCCCCCAGGGCAGGAAGAGGTGAGGCAAGAAGCAGCCATTCCTCCCCTGTCACTCCCAGTGCTTTCAAGCACCTCTGTGATGTACCACCATGGCCAAGCACAGCAAGCAAATGCTCAATCACTAAGTGCACTTGGCACTCATTAGATCACATCTGGACACTGCATTGGGTCTGGGGCCTCAAGCACAGCAAACATGTTGATAAAATTCAGTGGGTCTGGCAAAGAGGCACCAAAACACTCCGGGAGCTGGAACATGCACCCTGTGAGGGGCAGCAGGGGGAGCAGGACAGCCCAGCCTGCAGAAGAGATGGCTTTGGGGGACCTGCCAGCAGCCTGCTCCTACCTGCATGGAAGTGATGGAGAAGACAGAGCCAGGCTGCTTTTGCAGGGGCACAAGCAGGAGGAGGAGAGGAACAGTCACAATGGGAAACAGGGGATGCCCCAGGTTGACAACAGAGAAAAGGGTTCTCTTTTGTGCTGACAGCCAGGCACTGGAACTGGAGAAACCTCCATCCTCAGAGGCTTTTGAGACCCAAGTGGACAAAGCCCTGAGTAACCTGGTTCTGAACTCACAGTCAACTCTTCTTTGGGGCTGAACTAAAATTCTCCTGAAGTCCCTGAGTTATTCTATGAAAACATCACACAAGAAATAAAGAATTCTTGAAATGCTTTTTAAAAAACTACAGAGACAAACTTTCACAATTCATCACCCAAATAAAATGGCAAAAATCCCACCTAAACCCCCCATGTCAATTTGCACATATTTGCCATAAGCAACAATGTTCCATTACTCAACCAAGTGGCACATTTACTCCTAACAACTGCTTTGGAAGCTGGTGAAATTCAGCACCTGCCTTCTCTGATGTGGCACTTCCAGCAGTTGGAATATTTGAAGGCTTTTCCTATAGTGAGAAATTCACTTTCTACCAGATCTACCAACCTGGGCAGTGTGTGTGACACACTTTAGTTCCTGATGTCAAGCTAAAGCCCACCATAAAGAGTTTTAGCTGCAAGAGCATTTGCAATAAAGGCATGCAAGAACACAACATTTAGTCTCATCTCCCCTTCCCATTTGCTTTTCACCCTGTTAAGTCCATCAGCATGGCACCAACAAGCCAGCCTGGTGCATACAGAGGTACGTAGCAAACACAAACCCAAACACATACACACACACAAAAAAAGAGGCAAAGCATAAAGAAGCATGCACAAAGCAAGGACAAACGTGCAAGCCTCTCTAGTTGTGGTATCTGGACTCAATTAGGTGGAGAGAGATGCAGATAAAAACCATGCCAAGTTACCTTCAATGGAATAAGAATAATGTGCTGGGCTGGGCTGGCTTGTGGTTAACCCTGTAGTGCAGGTAAGAACACTGTGCTGACTTGTAGATGCAGTCTGAATTAAACCACTTTCAGGTTTCATACCTGGCCACAGTGCACCTGAATCAGATAAATTGGACCAGTTACAAACAGATCTGCTGGCACCAAAGAGCATGCTGCGACCTCAGATGCAGATTTTTGCTCATCACAAAAGCAAGTAACAAATGACACATGAGAAATGTTGAATTTCTGACTGTCAGGCTGTGCATGGGTTAGACCTGCTGACAAAAAGCCTGGAAAAGAGAAAATTAGAAGCACCAACAAGACCAATTTCCAAAGCTTGCAACTAAAAATCTGGTAGTGTCACAGAAGGATGAACCGCTCATCAGTGTAAGGAACCTGCTGATCCCTCTTTGGTGCACAGCCCTGCAAAGGACCTCAGCTGTACACGCTGAGGCTGAGCTGGTATCTATCAAGGTCAAGGACAACGCTTCCACTGCTTCGCTGGGCTTTGGGTTGAGTATGTTAAAACAAGCCACAAGTCAGTAGCTTCCACAGACTGACAACAGCAAAAATAGAGCTTAAAACAAGGGAAAAAAAACCGTCTAAATGTTTCATCTAGATTTCCTGCTGTTCTGGAAAGCCTTGGTAACAATACTGGGCAGAGCACAGAGCCAGCAAACCACTGTAGTTCCTCTGTTCAAGGCACACATCAGCACTGTGGGTCCAGCTCAGGTGCCGTGTTAGGGTCTAGTCTACTGCACTGACAGGGTAAAAACAGTGTCCTACTGAAGCAGCTCAGCTCAGGCCTGGTTCTTCAGGGCTCCTCAGGCTTTTGTTTAAGTGTTTCCAGACCTAGAGTCAAAGTCAAAGGCATTTGTCCCTGGCCCTGGTTAGAAAGCAGGAATCAGTTGAGAAGATCTATGTAAAAACAAGCAGAAGTGTGCAAAGCAGAGGGACAAAGGACGTGTGGAGCTAGACACAAAGTTCAGGGCCAGCAGAAAGACCACCCTTCTCCTTAAACCCCCCCAACACCAGCATCAAGACCTCGAAAACCACCTGCAGCCTTTCACACAGTGTATGTAGCAGGATAAGCCTCAGGCTATGAGCTCCACTTCTTACCCAGAAGACATGGGAGATGCTCTAGAGCTGGGCAAGTGCAGCTCACTCCATGCTGCTGCTTTGTCAGAATGAAACTCTTCAGTGGCTCTTTGATTTATTTACATACCTGATCTCAAACTGTCACCTATGAGTCAAATTAAGTCATTCACCTATCTGTACAGCACACCAGGGTTTTGAGTCTTCAAAGCTGTGTCTTCATTGCTGTTTCAAACCTCTAGAACCATGTTAGCAAACAAAAGGGAAGGGCTGATTTAAGAAAGTCCAGAATAAAACATATGGGAAACAAACGCTCTAAGGAGAGTGGGAAAAGCTGTATTTGTTTAGTCTGGAAAGGGAGTGCCATGATCTTCAAATAGGTGAGGAGTTTTTAGAGGGAACAGTAACGAACAGTTCCTTACAATGCAAGATAGATGGACAAGGAGCCAACAGCAACATAATGAAAGGGTCCCAGAACACACAGAAGTGCCTGACAATGAAACACAAACCACCTCTAATGCATGAGGAGTTAACAACAGGTCAGACACACACAGCAGATGTGCTTGCAGGGGTGGTTGGATGCGAGTGCAGGAACTGATTCAGGCTGTGTGGTAAAGCATCCTTCAGCCCCTGCTTTCCATGACTGTCTCTGTCATCTCTCAGTACAGACAAGTTCTACTTCCATACAGCAAGGCACACTCTTGGCATAGTGGCACACATCTGTCCCTCTCATTCTGCAAGACAGTGATAATAAGACAGCACAGTCTTGAAGGCGACAGAGAGGGGGAAACAAGACCCCTCTGTGTGCAATGGCAGCAGCAGGAGACATCTGTGTACGTGGAAAGGCCCCAGAGGATAGCCCATCACCTGTAGTTTCCTGAGTTAATGTAAACCATCACATCCACACTGCTTCTACCACCAACATACAGCCACATATAAGCAGCTCGTATGTCACTACTCTCATTTTACTGCTTCTTTAATGAAACCTCTCTAGATCACAAGTATGTCCCATGCAGAACAATACACTAAAAACCATCCAAAAAGTACCACACTACAAGGAAAGGTGACAAATTGGCAAGAACATGGGTCATCACTTCTCTGAAAGCAGCATCATGACCCAAGTGTTCTCAAGACTACACTTGTCAACTTGCTTGGACTTCATACTTCAAATACACCTGTTTTGTTCCAGCTAGATAATCCATGATGCCTCCTTCTTTTTTGGCATGGAAACAAATACACAGTAGAAAGTCAGGCAAAGCTCTGGAACAGGCCCTTCCATAATGGTAAAACATCTGATCAGGCTGTCCAAGTCCTCACCTGCTCATGGACATTGTGAGCAGGAACAAACTGTATCACTCCCTCTGCACTGTGCATGCTCAGTCCTTTACCCTCCATTGTTCATCTCATCCATCTTCTCAGTATGATCAAGCAGGTACTACTCCAGTATGATTTCCATTACTCATAAGATGACTTCTAACATTCTCCTAACACTTAAATTCAGACTAAAAATACTGGTATTTAATAACAGACCTCAACATCCATACCAAGACATTTCAGTAATTGATCACGTTTCAAAAGATGTTTAACAGAAAGAAGTTCCTCTGAAGTCAACAGAAATGATGACCTCTTGCCTTGGTCTTAAGGAGAAATTCTCCTGTTACATTCAGAGTATTACACTAAGTAGGGAAGCACCCTTGAATTCCAGAACCTTGGGATAAAACAACCCAAAACACATCCCCCCAGTACAGCCACCACTACCACCACCACCAAACATCACATACACGAAACATTAACAAACCTCCCCACATCCTTCCTACTCCCCTAATTTTAGAATTAAGTCTAAAACACCTTTTCAAACATCTTGGCCTAACACTTCAAGAGAGCATTTCACATATGCACACAGATTTGCCTTAAAGAAACCCAACCACACTACACAGTAACACACCTGAGCACTTCCAAAGCAGCCCCCATGCACTGTCCACAGCAAACTATCAATAAACACCAAATAAATGAAGTCAACAAAACCACCAGCCACTGTTCAGATACAGCTGAAACAGTGCAACAAGGCACTGAAACCAAAGTGCAGGCACCCAGGGAACAGCAGGATGTTCCAGCAACCATAACACAGGGTTTGTAGAATCACAGAGTGGTTTGGTTTGTGTTGGAAGGGACCTTAAAGCTCATCCAGTTCCAACCCCCTGCCACGGGCAGGGACACCTTCCATTAGAGCAGTTTGCTCCAAGCCCCATCCAGCCTGGCCTTGACACTGCCAGGAATGTAGGTAACAGACCATCGTGACAATACACAACACTACAATCAGACAAAAAAATAAGGAAGGCAGTGTCTAGAAAGCCAGCAAACAAACTGCACTGGTAACTGAAGACTGGAGTATGGATACAGCATCAGGCTTCTCCATACTCGTTCAGCTTTCAGGGCAAAGCGCTCCTGGAGGAATGAAGTGAGCTCAGGCAGAGAACCTTGGCACCCCAGGACACGTAACACAGAGTCAACTATGTCCTCATCTACTAGAAATCCCAAGCCCATGGCAGGAGGGACTGAGGATCTCATGCCAGCATCCTTTTACACTTCAAGGCATGAAGATTCTAGCACTACAGGTAAATCTGACAGAGGTTCTGTTCATTCAGTTCTACAGCGTGACCACAAGCCCTGAGAAGACAGACACCTGTGGCTCAGCCACTGCCATGCTGCTCACGATAGCACCCAGGTGCTCTCCCAGGTTACCTGCATGGAAGGGGATGTTACCCCCAAATCCATCAGTGCTTGATGCTAAGGGGCAGAACAGTCTCTGCCACTGTACATTTTTGAGATCATGATACAGTATTTCAGCTGGTCACTTACAGCACTCTTACCCTTCAAGCATCTGCAAAAACTGGAGAGGCTATTAAAGGGCTCAAGTATTAGAGCAACTTAAGTCAACTTATTTGCCCAGCAAACTTGGAGACTTTTTAGCATGAAATCTGTATTTGGTGACAGGTGAAACAACAAAAAAGCCTTAATCCTGGTCAGCAAAAAGGAAAGGAAAAACACCTTCATCCTACAGAGATGCTGTAGCATGAGCTCTTGTGGGATTTCCCTGACAATGAAACTGCACAAACACAGCTATACACATCTAGAGAACATTATGATCCCATCTGACACAGTTCATGGGGAGGCACCTAAATTAATGGCCAGGAAAAGAGCTTTGTAATAAATAACATCCTATGAATCCCATCTAGAGATCAGTACTGATCTACAGTTCAAGTCAGGCACATGCTTTCCTACAGACTCTTCTCTCCAGCACACCTGGTTAAGCTTAACAACATCTTTTTCATGAGAGAGGAGACAAGAACTGCAGGCCCTGAGAAGTCTTTGAGAAGTTACTTCTTACCAAAAGGAGGTAGTCCGTAGGTTTGGGTGGTCTGGGGGTAGATGGTGTAGGGCTGAGACTGCTGCAGTGCTTGGTACTGAGGCTGACCAGGGTAAGGGCTCATGGTTTCCGATACAGGTACAGAAAGGATATGTGCATATGGCCTTATTAAATGGAAAGAACAGAAGTTAAAAAGAGCTATTTATGTGATGCATCTCTCAGCCTAAAAACCAGAAGATATACTAAAAAAAATGCTTCAGAAAGCAGAAACAATACACACTGATCTGTGCTTTGGTGTAATAACCCACTTGTGTTTCCCAGAAGGGCAGGCTCTTGGATTTACAGACACCGCCTGGTTCTTGCTGTGACACCAGGGGAAGCTCTCCCAATCACAATGCCAAAGTACCAGTGCTTACTCCAGGGCTGAGGGGAAGAACAAACTCCCCACTGCAACAGGCAAGAGCAATTAGCTTCACTTATCGTGCCTCTTGTGCTGCAATGGGAAGAACTTTTAAGATCTCCAAACGTGGTGAATGATGAGAAAATCCTACATTCCCCTTAATTTATGTCCAATTTGTTTGTTCCCCAAATATTATGGGCATTATTCAACAAGTTGCATTGTTAATTACTTGAAGGGGCTTACTTAGCCTTGTGATCATTAAACAACAGCCACGGAACCCAAAGAGTGACTTGGGTCAGCTTCAGTGTCCGCAGCAACGAGTATCTGTTGCCAGCACATATGAAAGTGTGATTTACAGCAGCCCAAAAACGCTTCAGAAAGAAAGGAGAGTTATAGAACTCAGTGAAGAATGTTTGACTTACTTTGCAGAATACATTTGTGAGGTATAGTCATTTGATGACCTTGGGATATAATCAGTGCATGTCATAACTGAAAAAAGAAACAGTTTGTGTCATTACATAGGTGGTTTCAAAGCCCAACAAATAAAGCCAATAGAATATCAGCATGCACAGTACACTTTAAACAATACAAAAGGATTTACAAAGGTTTCTTAGTGAATATCTTTAATATTTGAATACCTTTTTCAAAGCAAAGGTTCAAAAAAAGCACTGTTAAGCCAGCACAAAACGGTTTTATTGCCAGTTCACAGCAGGTGGATGATTCAGTCAATACCACTTCTCTCTTTGTAACAGTGCTTTTCTCTTTACTAGTTGCTACCATCATCTTTTGCAACTGTCATGAGAAAACTTTGATTTCAGTTCTGCCCAAATCTTGTGTTTCCTGAAGCAAAGTAACAAGGCCACTGAAAGAAAGGAGTAAAGACAGTGGGACCAGAAGCACTCTGGAAGATACTTACTCTCACTGGACATGGGAAGGTTTGAACCAAGGCTTGAAGATTCAGGTTTCTCATCGCTGACTTCTGCATTGCTCACATGACTGTCAGGACAAACAAAGGCTAATCGTGAGCATTATGAACTCTTAAATGAACATCCTTGGGCATTGTAACTCAAGATTTGGCCTTCCTAACTGAGGCAAACTGGCTCTCAACAGAAACTAGCTCTGCACTCTTTGCTATTTCACACAAAGATCCTAAGAGAGAGATTTGCAGCTCTAATTTAGACCTTAAACTGTACTGGATTTGCACTGCAATGTCTGGTAGTGGGGGGCTGCAGGGGTGCACTGAAGCTGGGAATACACTGAAGCAGAATCACCACCATTCACTCTGGCACGTTCAGACCTGCTTGTGCTGCCCTCAGCTCCTCTGCAGCCAACAGAGAGAAAAAATCCTCCTACGACTTGGTTCATCTCACCTCCTACCAGCTAGACAGACTTCTGCCTAAGAGCTCATCCCAATCTCCCCTCTGGCAGCTTAAAGCCATTCCCCTTGTCCTGTCCCTACAGGCCTTTGTCAAAAAAGAAATTGCTCTCCACAGTATTTGGGACTACTCACAGGAACAGAACAAACCCAAATGCAGCTATTCTCAGAATATGTAAGAATACTGATAAATTCCTAAATATGATATACATCAGGAAGCACCTCTGAGACTAAAAATAGTACCAGAGAATGGCTTTAAATAGAATAGGCTATTGATTTGAGAGGGTTTAACTTCTCAGATCAGTAACCCACAGAGTTCTGCTGAGAATCATAGCATACATATTACTAAAATATCCTGATTCTCACCAGAATCAATGCATGTTATGTGCAGAAAATGACAGTCCCATCAGATTCTGTGAAAAACAGGATGCTTGAGGATGCAATGAAGACTCTTTGTAGCTGAATACCAAAGTGTCAGTTTATGTTTTGTAACTGGGAACTCAAAATTACAGCAAATACAAAATTGACTCCTATTTGCCTTGAAAGAGAAAACAGCATGCAAGCTTCTAAAATGGAAACTTCTAATGATAAAAGAACAGCAACAACAGTCCCACACTAAATCAAACTGAACATTACATACCTCAAACTTTGTTCTCTGGATTCCTGCATCTTGGCTTTTTTCACCTGTGAAGACACAAAGGTTCAGGCACAAGTGAGGAGAGCTGTCCTTGAGAGAACCTGTGCAGCAGATCCCCCCCAGCAGTGGCTAAACACCGAAAACCTTGCACTGAGCTAATACAGTATCAAGAGTGGGCTACAAGCCTGACAGGGTTTTTGCAAAGCTGACTTCACTTTGCTCTTGTTCTTTTATGAGGAAAATTCACTTGGTTTAAGAATGGTCTCACTACAAAAAAACCAAACCCCAGTGGTTGTTCTTTTTATTTCTTCCTGCAAGAATGTGCCACTAAAAATACCACCTCACTTACTAGTTGTGATCAGTAGTCTCACATTATGTCTCAGAATGACTGACTGGCATAAGATAGTTAAAAGGAATTACCAAGAAGATCTTCAGCTGAAAATTACAGCAGAATCTCTTACAGAGGGTGCTTTCACGCACCAAACATTAGCTGCACCCTGTCTCTCATGCCCTGTATAAAGACAGTTTTCTCCATGTAAGGATGTAATTACAAGATACTTCCTTTCTTAATACACACATTCAATTCAGTTTTAAATCCTGTATGTATCTGGAGTTCAACTGTTCTGGTTTTGCTGATTTGCTTCACATTTTGTGCACACTGACTCTTGCCCATAACCTGCGTGTTGTGTCACACAATCTTTTGAACAACTGGAAATTTCCATTCCCATTTCATTCAGTGCCATTACAATGTGTTTTCTAACTGGTTAACTGAAGAACACCAAATTCTCACATGCAAAAAGCATCAGAATCTTTTCAATGAGGATGTTGCCCACTTGCCCTCAGTGTTTTACTCTGGTTCGTGTGCGGGTGAACAGGTCTCCAAAATGAAAATCAGCTTCACTCTCATGGTAACGTGGCAACTGCTTGCGGAGTTCACATCAAGTTTAATTTGGGACTATTACATTAATACAAACTTTATCGTTTAATTCCTGGGCTGTCATGTTTTAGACATACAAATTTAACTTCGTATCATACTGTATTAGTAACAGCTCTATGAAGCTCCTGCAAGGTGATGTTATCAGCTACTGATAACACAGGCAGGATCACGAAGAGGTAAGATGTTTGGACAACAGCTTTTAGCCTAAGACACGCTTCCCTGCTCAAACTCACTGTTAAATAAAGAACTAAAATGCTTTCCCCCTGTGGAGCTGATGGATCATAGCATCTTTTCAACGTCCCAAGCCCAAGAAGAATTACAGACTATTCACACTGTAACATGCTGCTTCTGTCATTGAAATAGTGAATTTTCATTTCTCTACAACAGGCTTGAAACAGTCTGGTTTTCTGAGCATAACAAGTAATTATTTGACACAGCAACATTACAGAGTTCAAGCACACATAACTATTCCTTTTCTTACTATTGCCTGTAAAATTGTAGTAAATTAAGTGCACAACACATTTTACTAAGAGCAAAATGATTCTTTACCTCTAGATAAATATACTCAGAATAAGCCTTATTTTCCATTCTTAATCACAGTAACGCTACACTGCATTTGGGAGATCACCAATGCTCATTTTTAGCCTTTTCAAATGTACTTACTGGTTGTTCGGGTAAGTCTTGAGGCTCTTCCATGGGTATTACTATTTTAATGCTTAAATGAGTCGAATCGTGTGTTCTTGGCAGTCTTCAAAGCCTGTCAAAAAAAGGTGTTCATAGCTTTATGTACTTTTTTGGGGGGCTTATCATTTAGGCTATCAGAGAACATTAATTGTTACATATTCCACCCACCAGCTTTCCAAACTCATGTTGCCATCTCCCAAATAAAAGACAAAATTCATATATGGAAAGATTTCATAAACAAGGGATTTAGCTTTAAGCTTCCAAGAGCCAGATTTTTTTACGCACGTGGCACATTTCTGCATCATTTACTTGTGCCACACTGACTCCAGAAGCTAAAGTATCAATCAGACATGTGCCCCGTGATTTGAAACACACTTTAAATGATCAAGCCTGGTCTAGTAGGTCAGTAAACAGCGTGATTCAATCTAACCTGTTTTAATTTAGAACATTTATATAACGAACAAAAAAAAAACCAGGACAAGCCTCTACACCTAAATGCATTCAGATGCAGGAGTGCTCATTGCCAAAGTCACCGAGCAAGGTGGTTGCTTCAAGTGCACCCTTCAGAAGGAGAAGTTTGATGAACATTTATAAAAGCATTTTTATGTTGGAAGCTAAGGTACCCCAGTAGTGCTGAGCAGAGGGATCCCACATCCTAACACCGGAGCTGCTATCCCCTGCGTTTTAAAAACAGGAAAAGGGAATTTTGCAGATTACTTGCACAACCTGATTCAGTTTTGCAGCTTGCTAGGCAAAAGAGAAAGGTCCATGTCCTCCACTGCTTCCCCCTCACCCAACTAGTGCTCACCAACAGTGGGACCCTGCTGCTCCCCTTTCACCCTCTCATTTCTCACCCAGTTCATTAAAACCAACCCTGACCGCTTCAGCCAAGCCCCATCTCCACTGCACCAAAGGCCAGCAGGAGCCTCCCCTCCCAGCCCAGCAGAGCTGGCTCTTCCACATGCACACATGTACACTACTGCACACAGAGGACAAATTCAATGGGTTACAGAAACCAGGAGAAATCACATCATCACAGAACAGTTTGGGTTGGAAGGGACCTTAAAGATCACCCAGTTCCAACCCCCCTTTTGGAAATCAATCACTGTGTATGGGGAGAAGATCAGCAGAGGATCTATCCATAACACAGAGCTTGGAGGGCTGATCATAGAGTACTTCCCACAATTTTCTTACCAGTTACTGACTGGACTTCCGAGGTTTTAACAGAGAAGCAGCAAGGGAGACATGCTCAACAACACTTTGTGGTTTGTAAGAAATCAAATACAGTGACGTTTTGTGCTGAGGTTCAACCTATTCCTGCCTCCACAGCCACAGAAGTTGGGCTGTAAACTTCAGTGGGAATGCAGAGGCTCTTCACCTCTTTGTTTTCCCAACCTGTCTGGAGCATTCACCAACACATCATGAGACTGTCCCCATGCAAAGTGACTGAAGAACTCAACTCTCTGGTGCCCTAAAAGCACTTGCTCTTTCCCATCCTGGCCCTTCCAGACCTACTTAAGCTCCCTGCACGTGTAGGCAGCCTGCAGCCAGCCCCACGTGCCGAGCGCAGGGATGCTTTGCAGCTGGGATAATGCCCTATTAACCAGGAAAACACAAAGGATTCCTTCTCCCTTATTCGATGACAGGTCAGGGTCTGGCATGCCACATATGCCAGGGTAAAATTTCATTGAGGGTTAAATGTTCTCCTCCCCTAACAGCTGCCTCCCCTAACCAAAGACTTACCTGTATTCCCTCAACTGTAAATCAACTGAAGTCACAAGAACTCTATTCAACAGCGCTTTTGAAATGACCCTACTCACACCGCACACAAAGCAGTCTACAATACAAAGTACTACTGTTAGTATTCCAGGTTTCCCCCTCATCACTTTTAATTGCATTTATTTTACAAATCAAAGCTTGTTTCCTTTAAACTTGCAGGTATAACAGAGAAAAATCAAGGCTGGAAAGAAACCCTGGCAGTCAAAGATCATGAAGAGCAGTGTAAAGTACAACGGCCAACAGCAAGAATATATGAAATAGGTACCAATGGGTCCTGTCCTGTTTCTTGTTACCAGTCTGATTCTACGAAGAAGGTCTCACATCACACTTTGATCCATACAGCAGTAACTTCCCATTCTATGCTCTGTTTAAAAGCTCTGAGCAGCAGTTTTAGTTTTGAGAAGGACTTAAATAATTAGAAAGACAAGAAGATTCCCAGAACACGTTAGTTACACTTGTGACAAAACTCTCTTCCCAAATGAGTAGGGCATCCTGGAGCACCTGGAAGCAAATGAATGAATCATAGGATCACAGAATAGTTTGGGTAATGAGCAGTAATTATACTGAGTAGAAAAAAAGCCTGTTTGAATAGGGGATTACATTACTTTCAAATAGCCACTTTCCCCAAGAACAAAGCTTTGGTTAACTAAATTATAGGTGTTATACAGAAAGTGAAAATAAAATAATAGAATCATTTAGGTTGGAAAAGACCTTTAGGATCACAAAGTCCAACCGTTCCCCAGCACTGCCAAGGCCACCACTACCCCATGGCACTGAGGCCTCGTCTCCACCATGTGTGAACACTTGCAGGGCCGGTGACTGCAGCCCTGCCCTGGGCAGCCTGTTCCAATGCCTGAGCACCCTTTGGGGCAGGAATTCTTCCTCAGCTCCATCTAAACCTGCCCTGGTGCAGCTTGAGGCCGTTTCCTCTTGTCCCACCCCTTGCTCCTTGGGAGCAGAGCCCAGCCCCTCCTGGCTCCATCCTCCTCTCAGGCAGTTGTAGGGAGCCATCAGGTCCCCCCTGAGCCTTCTCTTCTCCAGACTGAACCCCCCAGGTCCCTCAGCTGCTCCCCATCACACTTGTGCTCCAGGCCCTGCACCAGCTCCAGTACCCTTCTCTGGCCCTGCTCCAGCACCTCAATGTCTCTCTTGTAGTGAGGGGCACAGAACTGAGCACAGGATTCGAGGTGCAGCCTCACCAGTGCCCAGTACAGGGGGCACTGAGGTCATGCTAACAGGCCTGAAGTTGCCTCCTTCCAGCACTTCCTGTAAATGGGCATCACATTTGGTAACCTCCAGTGAACTGGGACCTCCCCAGTGAGCCATAACTGCTGATCAGTGATGGAACGTGGCTCGGTGAGCACCTCCAGCTCCCCCAGCACCCTTGGGTGGACCCCATGCAGCCCTAGACTCTGTGTGTCTCAGTGATGTAGCAGGTCACTGACCATATGGGGGCTTCATTCTACTCCCCATCCCTGTCTCCCAGCACAGGGGCACAGGTATCCCAAGAACAACTAGTCTTACTATTAAAGACAGAGTGAAAGAAGGCATTAAGTACCACGTTTTTTTCCTCGTTGTCACTACAATTCCCCCCACATCCAATAAAGGTTGGAGAGTGTCCTTAGCCACCCTTTTGTTGCCAAAGTATTTACAAAAACATTTTTAATTGTCTCTTGCAGCAGTACCTATAATGTTTTGTATGCATAATAATGTCACCTATGCAGTTATCACCACTCCTTTTCACTCAAGGACCAGCACCTTACCATGAATAGCAAAGAATATGTGAATTAAGCACCAGCAGAAGAGTCTAATGCTTCCAGCGGAGCATTTCATGCTAATCTATCCCACGCACACGGGATCAGAGAGCGCAGCCAAAGCGACCTATGGCATCCCCCCAACCAGAGCTGGGTTTTTCCTTGCAATGTGCTTTTACCCTGTGCCACTCCGCACGTGACAAACCGCTTCGTTCAGGGAAGAGCACAACTTGGCACGGTGGGAAGTGGTGGATTCCCCAGTCCCTTCTTGGTTTTCAATTTAATTAAAAACACATAAAGAAATAAAGAGTGAAAAGATGCACACTGTGACATTGCTGTGCACTGCACAGCACCGACTGCTTTTTATTCTGCAGGTTTATAACTGAAGGTCTAATCTTCAGGCAAAGAACGCTACTGACAATCTCCCCATGGTGGCAGCAACCTTTGCCCCCCACACCAGGATGTGAGCAGGCGAATGCATAGAACCCCCTCACTCCACAGCAAAGTCCCTCCACAGTTTTATCCTCCTCCATATCTCAGCATTCCTACATCCAACTGTGATAATGTTTCATCAGCCAAGCTGCTGATATACTTCAGACCTGGTATCCATCATAGGCAAAGCTGTGACTCCAGCGAGAGCCAGCCTGCTGCCGGCTCCTGCAGGGATCTCTCGTGAGGGTTTGGCAAAACCAGGCATTCCCTGAAGTTTGGAAGAATCTCCCAGTTTTGAAACAGCTTAATTAAAGCTGACACGAAATGATAGCATCAGCTTGGGTCCCAGTTGGGCTGTGCAATAAACCAGCCCCTTAAGGAGCTGTCAGGAACTGAACAGTTTTTATACTAAAGCTGCATTTTTCCTTCCTTCAGGCAAAACCGAGTTAATGGAAATTCTTCATAAGGTTGTACCATCACAATGATGCAACAAAACGAGGGAGTAAATAGATTCCTGGGTGTGTAAAATGTTCTATCTGGCGAGGCTGACTACAAACTCCAAAAGCTTTAAAGATACTTTAAAGAGAAGGGAATCACAGTTTTTAAAACACTCATGCCACCCAGTGATGTGCAAAGAGACAGACAGTGGTGAGCAGGAGAGGAGGGGCTCATCCAGCTTCTCTCCTCCATTAAGGAACAAAATATTTAAGACAAATCACTTGCTCTCACAAATTCCTGCAGGTATCACAATGCATGATTTCCTTCCTACTGCATTCACATGTTCATTTATAAATGGCCTACTTGTTATGGCTGCTCATGCAGTACCTGACAGCCAAGCGGAACTGAAGAGGTGTGTTACTCCAGTGTTTGAACAGACAAATGAGGTAAGAGGGAAAAGGAACTCAGGTTTCTAACTTCAAACCCTACTTTATTACACAACAACCAACTCAGACAACAGTCTTGCTCTCCAGAACAACTGTGAAAAATTCCTTCTCACATCCATCTTCAAGCTTTGCCTGTTACATCCACCCCCTTTGTAGCACAGCTCTCTCCTCAGTTCCTTTTCCAGCAGCAAAGAGCAGCTGTTTAAAACCAAGAAAATGGGATA